AAACATTGACAAATTTCATAGTTGCATTGGTTGAAATAGACAAAATATGCTGTATGGGTAGTTGGAGATTATAAGGAGGAAAATACAGTTGGGCTATATGGGCTAGGAAATAGAAATAAAGCAGAACTACATATTGGAATAGAGTAGAGACTGTGAAGGGAAGGGGAGAGAGGAGAGGAGAAGAGGGCAAAAAAGTCAATATTCTCATGAAGGAGTTTAACAAAGGATGGGATGGAATGGGATGAGATAGCTATTTGGCCAAATGTGATTAAAAAAACAAGGATTTTATCTTTGATTAGAAGTTATCAGCATACATGAAAAACAAAAGAGTAATTAGTAATCCTAATAATTATACCAGTAGGTGGGGGTAGTAGAAGAGTTGAGAAGGATAATAATAATCTAAAGCCATAGACATCTGTTAAAAGAGACAAAGAAGCCATACAAAGAAATCGTACTATAATAAAAGTAGTACAAAGACATCTGTAAGGACATCAAAGACGGAAACAGAGACCTTTCTCAGGTTGTCTTTGGGAAAACTCTCCAACCTCAGAAAGTTAAAATGTTAATGGGCAGATAGTAACCAATTAAAAGATAGAAAGAGAAGATTGAAATTCTGTAGGTAAAATATCTAAGATGCCCTAGAAGATGGGTTTTCTAAAACTCATATAAAAAAAACTTGAATATTAGAAAATGAAATTGTATCAATTCTCTGATCATCATGTTAAAGTTACAGGGACTGCTAGAATATCTACAGAAATATTGCAAAGAACAGAAAAATCAGTAAAGGTTCTAACAAAATTATGTCAGCAAATTGGCAGAATGACACAATGGCAACAGATTAGAAGAGATCAGTTTATTTTACCAATACCAAAGAAAGATAATACCTTTAATTTCACATGCTAGTAAAATAATGCTTAGGATCATTCAATGTAGACTAGAGCCTTACATGGACAGGGAGATGTCAGATGTTTAAGATGGTTTTAGAAAAACTTGAGGAACAAAAGATGCTGCTGATAATGTATCCTAGACAATTGACAAATCCAAACAAGTTTAAAGACATGTGCTTCATTGTCTATTAAGGGCTCAGATGTGTCCACCATGTCAACCTGTGCAATAATCTGAATAAAATGGGAATACCGGAATGTCTAATTGATTTCATCAGAAACCTATATATTAAGAAGCCATAGTCCGGAAGAAACATGGTGAAACAAATTAGCTCCATGTCAACAAAGAATGGTAGTGAGTGGAAAACTTATTATCAGGGGTGGGTAAGGGGTTCTTTGCCCGGTTGCTGGATGGGCGTGGCCTAGTTGGTGTCCTGCACCACGGGGGGGGGGGCATTTTTGCCCTACCTGGCTTTTCTTGAGCCTCTGGGAGGTCGAAAATGGGCTTCCCAGGCTCCAGAGGCCCACTGGAGGCCAGAAACGGGCCCATTTCCGGCCTTCCCAAACTTCTGGTAGGCCCGTTTTCGCCCTCTTCGAGCCTCGTGCCCTGCACTTACCTGCATCCAAAATGGGCCATGTGAGGACCCTTGGGAGGGGTGGTGCAGGGTAGCCAGGAGTGGGATTTGAGGGTTCTCTGAACTGCGCAGATCTTATCTAGAGGTTGTCCTGAACCCCTACAAGCCTCCAGCAGCCCACCTCTGCTAATTATGTTCTCCAGAAAATGGTTACCTGCTTTTCCAGCAACTGGATAATGGGGATGCATGTTGAGGAGACAGGTATATTGAGGTTATATTTTAAATATTAAAATGCAAAATACAAAATGCAAGGGGGTATTTTAAAAGGGAGTTCCTTTCCTAAAAACTAATTTTGAAAGTGTTTTCTAAATTCTACTGTAAATATTGCTTAGTTTATTTCCATCTAATTAGTAAAGTGAAATAGTTGTATAATTGTTTGCTCAACTAAAAATGTTTTCCATTTTTCTTGGAAAGCGTCAGGAAGCTTTCAAAGATGACAGTCATTATAGCACTTTTAAAAATACAGGTCTATCACCCAATTAGAAAAATAACTGAGGCTTTTATTACACTAAGTTGGGAATGAACTATGTAAACACAAAGTAAATTAAACTTTTCAGTAAACATATATATCTTTGTACTAGCTTAGTGGAATGTCTGTTAAATAATAACTTTTGCATAGATCTGCATGTGAGATAAATAATTGGTTTGAGAGAAATATGTCATTTGTTTTTAGGAGGTTAATGCATGCTATAATTAGCAGCAATTTTGTGCCATGGCTAGGCTAACTGTAGAAAGAGCCTGGAGGGAGGAATCCTATGCCTAGCCTAGACATTTTCATTCTTGCATTAAGTTTAATTTTTGTAAGCTATAATCCTCCTATGGGCACATGTTTTCAAAATTGTCCATGTTTCTGGAGTGAGCAAGCTGAGTTGGGATGCATTGCTTTGAGGGACAGAGCACATTGCCATTTTTCACATAATTTCCTTACTTCTGGCAACACAATCAGAAATATGTCATGGCCAAATATACCAAAGAGTGCTAGGAGATTTTAAAAAGAAACAGAACTGCTCCTCCTACAGGAATCAGCCAAGGCAATCAAGGATCAAGACAATAATTATTTGGTTCTGCTCTGTTCTATGTACTGTAAGCCCCTTATGCGCAACCATCTAATTATACAATACATTATTAGATCCTGGCCAATGATAAAGCTATTCAGACTGCTATTTCCTCAACCTCAGATACTATACTATCACATAGTTGTTTTAAATTCCTTCTGTGATTCTGTTTTTATACTCCTTATATACTTCTTCAAAGTTTTCTTTATTTAGATTATTATTCTAATTTTAAATATATTTTGTTTTTCCCATTGTAAGGTGTTCTGGACTTGAAAAATCAATCAATCAATCAATCAATCAATCAATCAATCAATCAATCAATCTGAGTTTATATCCAAGTACACAAGGAGGTGTTTTATGGCATAAATTAACTTTCTGACACTTTCTTTTTTCACTAGGGATATTTAGCATAGAGTAGTAGGCTAAAGTGTTGTGAGAATACAGCAGGAACATTATATTGTTCCATCCTCCTTTCCCATGTCAGCCGGCTAACAAAATGAATTCAGGAAATATTTTGAGAATGCTGATTGACATTTGCTCCAGAAATGTATCAATGATAATCAAGGCTAGATTCCTTGCCTGAACACACCTTCTCAAATGGGTGGGTGGAGTCAGATAAAATTTAGACCCTTTGGCTCTCTGACTGATGAAGCAGGAAAAACTGGTTATTCACTGGAACTGGAAGAATTAGCAGAAGACTTTACAATACTGCATGGGCTGGGAACAAGATGGGTCATCATCACATTTTTGTACTGTGTGTAGAGACTAATTGGTGAAGAGTGACCTCATGTTCCCTGATTTCAAACCACTGTGCACCTTAAATATCAACATCTTGAACTGGCTTTAAAATATGCTGTATTCTCTCATCAGGTTTAAACAGGTGATGATCTGCCTTCCCACAACATATTATGCTTATTTAATATTAAGTTAGTATTAATTTTTATTTCCTTGGCATGCTGCAGGAGTACAGACAACTTGGTTAGTTTATGATTCAGTGAATTGTATAACTGTCCTTCCAATGAATTAATTCAGTCATCATATTAAATATATTGGGTGAACATAGCCATTGTTCAGTGTAGCTGATGCTAAAATGAAGAGTTGACAGTTGAGATTCTGATATATTTTACCCTTTAGTTAGCTATGTTTTGAACGCAATTTAACTTAATGTAAAGCTTGTTACAATGGTCCAATCAGGAGATTATTACAGTTCCAATTTAGAACTACCACCAGTAATAGATTGCAGGTCTGACAGATTTACCGAGAGACACTGTCGTGCTCTTCTGTGATAACAAAACTGAGGACCAACAGGAACAAGAGTGCCAACTGATGCCTCCTGATGTTATAGTGATTGTAAAGAGACCCCCAAAGTCCAGGGATAATCTTGGATTATAATTAAAGAGTCAGAACATGACAGGGACTATTTGGCAAGAGATCTCTATTATGTTAAGTATCTGACTCTAAGAAAGGGTTTAAGTAGGAACCAGTAACCAAGGTATTGTTCAAGTCTGTTTCTACACTTGACATTATAGTCTGTAAGAAAGTTGGCAAGGCATGATAAGTATTACAGAACAGAGATCATTCACTTTACAAAACATATATTTTGTCAGATCATTAACCACTCTAGATCTATATTGTTACTAGTTGCTTAGCCAAGTGATATCCATTTGGTTCAGACACTTACTGGGTCTCTCATCTTATCCTGTGTGCTGGTATGGACAAGCCAGATATGAATGAATGTCCTGGAATGGAAAAGAAGTGAAATAATACAAATCAACACACCATATAAACCATATTGGGGCTTAGCATAACAAATGATCAAGCTGTAATGTCTAAATGCAGATAATTTATTTAAAGCAACTTGGCCTCTGTACCAGTAGCAGTTATTCACTACTCAAAAACAGCCTGTTCCATTTGAACTGCACGATTCTTTACTACAGTGTGCAGGGCAATCCCTTCTTAAACATTTTATATCAGCAGCTGCTGATATAAAACATGTACTCAGAGGAAGTTTAGTGGTTAGTTGGCTTTTCATTTTCTTTTCATTTTCACCCCTTCATAAGATTTGCTTCGTTATTTATCATTATCTCATTGTTTAAAAAATGTGTTTCCGAAGCAAAAGTCAAAGCATTTAAAAATTATTTTCAAGTAGGTATATTCGTCGCTTGCATTCTTCTGCGGTGCCACTATCCTCTTGTTGTTTCTTTTCCCGTGATCCTTTCTTTATTACTCTTGCTGATGAGTATCCCTATCAAGCAAAACCTTCGGAGAACTTAAGGCAAACGCGGGCATCTTACCGGGGTTACCTACAAAAGACTGACGCTGCAAGCTCCGCCTTCTAAACGACGATTGGAGCGTGGCCAGACACAAATTTCTCGCTTTAAAACGGAGAATGAATGGCTCTGGGAGGACTAAAGCGAGGGTTGAGCACTAAGACCGCAGCGGATCCCTCACCGCCCAGGTTAGATTGCAGAGACGAGGAGATCTCCAGACACGAGAGAGGGGAGGCTATATAGGAAGAGCAGAAAAGCAATGCTACGGCAAGCACAGGGCTGAAAGGGAGAAGGACGCCAGAAGAGGAGACACCTGGCGAGACGCTCCGAAAGGAAGGGGGGGAAAAACCACCAAACCAAACGAGGCGGAAAAACAACAGGGTCTAATCGCAGACTCGTGTCCTTTCTCCTAGGCGTAGCGAAGCGTCCTCTCCAAGACCGCTCCAATGAACATGTCAGTGTTGACTTTGCAGGAATACGAATTCGAGAAGCAGTTCAACGAGAATGAAGCGATTCAATGGATGCAAGAAAACTGGTAAGTGATGCGGGAGGCTCGCGCGCCGGGTCGGCCCGCTCCTTGCCGCCACGGGGCTCGTGCCTCTCCCGAGCCGAGGTGGTGGTGCCCGTCTGCGTCTGGCGATCTCCACGGCATGGATTATTAAAAGGGAGCGGAGGGAGGGAGGAAGGGAGACCGGCGGCGGCGGCGGCGGCGGGGGTGGGGTGGGGGTGGAGGTCAGTAAAATCCGAGAACCACGGAGTGACCGGGAGCGAAGGGTGAGAGCTCCGTTCCCGGCGCGCCTCTGATGCGTACGTGGATATATGGATACATGGTTTAGGGGGTACCCTGATTTGTTGTTGGGGAGGGTCTGCACATCGCGGGGAGAAGCGGGGAGAGGGGGAAGGTCATGTTTTTTGCGTGGCTGACTCTGAAAAGGAACATACCATTGCCGGGGAACTAGCCTCCTGGATCCCCCCCCCCTTCCTCCTCCGGTGCAGAATAAATTATATAATATACTATATTTCCAAGTGATGGATTCAGTAGGCTTCTTTCTGCCGTTTTTTTTTGTTGTTGTTGTTTTGGGGGGCTCGAGCCTTTGATCTTCCTCCCCTACCACGCGGAGTACCGTGCCCTGGTCTTAAAACTCTTGTCGGCACTACTAGTAGTCCCCTTGCCCTCCCCGGCCACTATTTCCGCCCCCCTAACCCATTGGCGGGCATGTTTGCTCTCCACCCACTCCTGGGCTCTATGGAGAGCCCATAAAAATTGATTTATCGGGCGAATATAAAAGGCTCTGTCGGGGGAGGGTTCAGGGATGGATGGGGAGGAACCGAAGAGTGCCCGAAGCTCAAAGAGGGCCGGGAAGTTAACAGTAGTGTAGCCCATCCTCGGCGCGTCCTTAAAGTTACCCATAGTAAAGACGTTGCCCTAATAATTCATGCCCTCCTGTCAGGGGTGCTTTGGAAAGTTATTTATTTCATCGTCAACATCCTGTGGCGAGCTCAAATCGTGCCTTTTATTGTGTTTATTGTGATTCTTCCTTCTCCCCACCGCCATCTGACTTAAGACAGAAACCTGTGCGGCTTGGAATGACCTTGACTTAAGTATTTTATTTTTAAAAGCTGGGGCAACCTCTACGAGGCACAGTGGTTGAGAGAAGTACACTTCGATATGTCGGAAAACCTGAAGAGATACAGGATTGCTAAGCTTAGTGGGATAACGTGGGGTGGGGGTGGGGGTGGGGGGGCGGTTTGGTCGTTCCAGGCTTCTCCTTCTCTCAGCGGGCATCATCCCTTCACCAACCGGCGGCGGCTCGCTCGCTCAGACCGGCCCGCGAGGGCTCCCTGTATGTGCGCGCGCGCCTTTCTGAAACCAAACGCACGCCTCGAGTGGCGAATGAATGGCAGGCGGCGGCGGCGGAGGAGAAGGGGAAGGAGGTGCGCGCCGGGAGCTTGGCGGGGCTTATGGCAAGCTCAGGTTCTTTTATCCCGGAAACTTGTACGTTTAATATTTCGGCGCATGTGCAGAGTGAGTCGAATCGCCGGCCGGTGCACAGTCTGCGTTGGAAGAAAAAGGCGGCAAACGTGTGTGTGTGTGGGG